TGCTCCCTCATCCACATCTTCAATCTCTCCCTCTCCACTGGCACTTTCCCCTCCCCTCTAAAGCGCGCACACATCACCCCCATACTCAAAAAACCCTCCCTTGACCCCACTGACCTAAACAACCTTAGACCCATCTCCCTGCTACCATTCACTTCTAAGCTCCTTGAGCGCCTGGCCTACAATAGTCTAAGTGCCCACCTCACTGATAACAACCTCCCTGATCCACTACAGTCTGGCTTCCGTCCCCTACACTCCACTGAAACTGCCCTACTTAAAATCAGCAATGACCTGCTAACCACCAAAGCTAATGGCCATTACTCAGTCCTCCTGCTCCTTGACCTCTCCGCGGCCTTCGACACAGTCGACCACCCTCTCCTCCTTACTAAACTGCACTCCCTTGGCATTAGGGACGCTGCTCTCTCCTGGTTCTCCTCCTACCTATCCCAACACTCCTTCAGCGTCACCTATAACACTGCCACCTCCCCCTCTCTGTTGGAGTCCCCCAAGGCTCTGTCCTCGGACCCCTTCTCTTCTCCATCTACACCTCCTCCCTTGGCAAACTAATACACTCCCACGGCTTCAATTACCACCTCCTATGCCGACGACACACAAATTTACCTCTCCACCCCTCACCTCACCCCCTCACTCTCCGCCCGCATCGCCCACCTACTGAACGACATATCAGACTGGATGTCGCTCCATTTCCTCAGGTTAAACCTGTCCAAAACCGAGCTCCTGGTCTTCTCCCCCCCCCATCCTCTCCATCACTGCTAGCAATGCCACCATCACTCCCACCCCACATGCCAAAGTCCTGGGTGTCACCATGGACTCAAACCTTTCCTTCCAACCTCATGTCCAATCACTATCAAAATCATGCAGGCTCCGCCTCCGCAACATCTCCAAGATGCGTACATTCCTCACCCCAGACACTACTAAACAACTCGTACACTCCCTCATCTCACGCCTGGACTACTGTAACTCCCTTCTCACTGGCCTACCCAAACAAACGCTATCCCCACTCCAGTCTATCCTGAACTCAGCGGCCAGACTTATGCACCTTACCAACCGCTCCACATCTGCCACCCCCCTCTGCCAATCCCTTCACTGGCTCCCGATTGCCCAGCGCATCAAATTTAAATTGCTAACTCTGACCTACAAAGCCATTCACAACGCTGCCCCAAACTACCTAACTGACCTGATACCCAAATATTACCCTACCCGTGGCCTTCGCTCCTCACAGGACCTCCTACTTTCTAGCTCCCTGGTCTCCTCCTCCCACGCCCGACTTCTGGACTTCTCGAGGACTTCCCCTATCCTATGGAACGCCCTACCCAAATCCATATGACTGTCACCTACCCTCCTCACCTTCAGGTGCACCCTGAAAACCCATCTTTTCAGGGAAGCCTACCCCACCCTCACCTAACAACTGATCTCCTCCACTTCTCCCACCACTCTATCCCCCACAGCCACTTCCTCCTGTACCACTTTCCCCTCCCTCCTAGATTGTAAGCTCGAAAGAGCAGGGCCCTCGAACCCCTCTTGTATTGTATTGTTACAGTCTTGTCTCATGTTCTGTCCCCCTTGCTACTGTACAGTGCTGAGCAAACCCTTTGGCGCTCTATAAATACTGTATAATAATAATAATACATGGCAATTGAGAGAGGAGCATCTGAATGTGTCATTAGATTCTTTCCGGTAAGGTCAAACTTCCATAGGCCTCCTGTACATATGAACTCCCCTAGATGTTGAGCTTTCCTGGCAGCAGCTAAATGTGTCAAAAACGCATGTAAATGTTCATTTGATTAACCAGAGTATTTTCCATGGACGTGAATAAACACCCAAGCGCTAAACACAGCTAGCATTTACATGCTTTTTGCAGCGTTTTAGCATTTTTTTGGCCAAAATGCTTCTATCCTGAACACGATTCTTCTGCATTCAGGAGAGGAACGTTTAACTGCCCCCAAATGCTGCTGCTTCTAAACTCTGGTAAAAAGCCTATATGTACATGGGCACATAGACTTTTATTGAGTTAAGTTCAGGGGCTTTAGCAAAAAATTGGCCAAAAGCTCCTAAACTCACATTGAGGAGCAGCAGTGTACAAGTCCATAAACTGCTAGGTGCAGCATTGTATTTTTTTTTTATCCCTCCCTATTTTTCCTATCATACGCTTCTGTTGCTTGGAAGAAGGGAAGAGCATAAAGTAGCAAACTACACATAGATCAAGGAACCTTGTAATTTTTTTCCTGTCCCTAAACTCCTGGCCAAGCTTTGGACGTTCTATTATTTATGTAGTCCCAACAAAGAGGAAATAGGTTTTAAAAACAAGTCCAACACTGACCTTCCTAGCTGCATCAACTATGGAGCAATGCATCTTCAAAATCACAGCAGAAGCAGTAGTCATTCAAGTTCTTTCAGCAGCTCAGCTCCCTCTCCCAGAGAAGGCTCTGCGTTTAAGAGATTAGAGGACTGTGGAATCACTGCTGGAAGAGGTAGCAGAGTTGCTGAAATAAAGCAACTTGGATGACCTCTGTGGTTCTGCCAACAAAAAGGACATTGTGGGATAGTTTAAATATTTACATATTCTTATAAAGCAGTAAATAAACAAGGAAATGTCTATCCTTTGACCACAGGCTCCCTTTTAAAGGGGATGTCTATCATGCTTTGGGGACCAGAGATTATCCTATTGCGGTCTAGTTTAGCACATTTACTCCAGAATAACAGCAGCACAAGGATCTCTGTTACATCAGCAGACCTGTTCGATGCAATAATAAGCAGAGTGACTAACTCTCCACTCTCTCTGCAACTGCTGCTTTCATGGGAATGGCTGGAGAACCCAGTATTTCTTGATTATCTGACATGAGTTTTTTTTTTTGTTAAAGTGTTACTGAACCCAAGACCCTGCATTCACTCTATCTGGTCCCCCACAGGACAAAGAAATACAATTATTGTAGTAAATATAAACTGCTAAATACCTTTTCTCATCAGCAGCACTGGTTAAAGCTTGTAGGAGGAGTCTTCATTCTGCTCTGACTGTCCTAGGAGGCTGCATAACCCCTGAACCTCTGTCTGGACAGTGCTGATTGGCCCTGTGCTGATAACATGCAAATCCCCCCCCCACCCCAAAAAAAAAAAAAAAAAAACCTCTAGTAATACACACTAAACTGAGCATGTTCAGAGCAGCTCCTAGAGCTCTGTACCATCAACAGATGGATTGGGGACTGTGGATGAAGGGGAGGATCAGAGAAGGCAGGATCAAACAACCTTGTATTATGCAATGCAGAGGATCAACCGTTTAAGTTTCACAGTGAGTATAACAAGCATGGGTTACTGCATATACAGACTGATTTTACTGTCGTGGGTTTAGTAACACTTTAAATAACTCCACTAACTACACTGTGTTTAAATGGCCCAGATATTGTTATGGAGTTATGCAGTCGTGTCATAATGCAAAACAGGAAATTGTAGAAGATGCTAATGACCATATCCAATCTAGTGTCTGAAGAGTACCCACGTTTTGTTAGTAAAATATAATCTGTAGCATATGACAATTAGTTAAAGTTCTGTTTACCTGATTTTTTCATATTTTTTATTTGCATTCTGTTTCATAGTTAAAAAATTATTAAACCCAAAACCAAAAATGTAATGTATTACAACTTACAAATTATTAGATGTGGTGGCTGTATTAGTTTTTTCTTAGGCTTTTTTCCCCTCTGTTTTCACTGGGTGATCTGGCCAGTAACACACCTCCTGTGTTCAAGTGCCCCCACTCTGGATGAAGGAGCACAATTTTTGGATTGCAGCATTGTCTGAGGGGAGCAGTGTTGGATGGAATAGCATATTTAAATACACTAACAAATCAAAGCCAAACTCCAGCTCACACTTTATAACCATTTACAGCCAACAGGTTTTGTTTCTTTTGTGATAAAAGTTTTACATGAATAAATAAAAGCAGATCATTGTAAGCAGCCCTGTCAGTGGTAGAGTTTTCTCATCACTGTAACTGCTGCATTTGCAAGAGAGCCTGCTCTTTTTAATAACAGATTTTAAGGCAAATCACCAAGAGTAAATAAAGGAAAGGGAGCCTAAAAATAAAACTAATGCAGTTGTCATATCTAGGAACTGGTAAGCTGCAATATAATGTTTGCTTTTGGCTTCAAAACCCCTTGCTGTTTTTTTTTTTTTTTTATTTTTTTTTTTATTCTTGGTAAATCTATAATTGCTCCCTTCAGTGGTAATTGGTGTACCTGCTTGGTGCCTCTGCTGTCATTATTTTGAGTCACAGATTGTAGTCAGAGGAAAGCGATCTCATCTGCAGATTTGTCCCTCAACATCTACAACACCCCGCCATTCTGATAAACTTCACATTTTAAAGTACAGTAACTAAGGGGGTGTTCTTACAGAGGCCTGAGGGAAGGTTTTATTTACCTAACCCTGATGTTGGAATAAATATTAACATAGTATTTACCAACACTTTGTCATTGTATGGTGTATATATATATATGTGTGTGTGTGTATATATGTGTGTATATGTATGTGTGTGTATATGTGTATGTATGTATGTGTATATGTATATATATATATATATATATATATATATATATATATTTATGTATGTATATATGTGTGTGTGTGTGTGTATATAATTTTTTTTTTTTCCCTCTTTACTGCATGCTGCTGTCTCCATGTAGCAAGCTCTGATATTAGAGTTCCACATACCCATTCTCTTACCCCAAATCATGGTTGGTGATGTGTGCCTCCTGATTCAATGAGATGTTTCCTAGCTGTGCTCCAGTGCAAGCTGTACTGAAAGCCAGCAGAACATAGTGAAGGGTTGGACTAAGACATAGATTGTGGGGATTTCAAGTATCATTGAGCTGCTGTCGCATTTCTTAGTAGATAAAAGCATTAACCGGTTTCTTTTTACGTATGTTAAGACCTTCTCATTTTAAGGCTTTACCTTGTGTCTAGGTAATTATAAAGCCTGCTTTCATATTTTGCAGGTCCGTGAAGATGATTTGCCTGTGGTGTTCCACACACTTCTAGGAGATATAAATATCTACAAGGAAGAGGATGGAGACTTGGTCCCAATTGCGAGTGAAGAAAGCAATGGTGTAAAGACTAGAAACTGTAAGTCAATAACCAAGTCTGTCTTAGACTGTCATCAATATATAGTTGGAGAGACTTCATATGGTGTCCCAGGAAGGAAGTTTTGTTAAAGTGAGTAGTTCTAGTTTGACACAACTGTCACTTTTACAGTAAAAATTGAGGGGGGCTACACTAATCAGCCATAACTTTTATGATCACTGACCGTAAATAACATTGATTATCACATTACAATGGCATTGGAAAGTTGTTGAGATATATTCGGCAGCAAGTAAAATGCATTGTCCCTGATGTGTTGAAAGCAGATAAAAATGGGCATTGCAGTTTGTTGTGTATGGGACTGCATAGTCACAAACCACATACCTAAACATTGTTGCTGACCAAGTAAACCCCTTCATAGAAATGGTATTCTTTGATAGCATTGACCTCTTTCAACAGATAATGTGCCCTGCCACACTGCAAAAATGGTTCACAAATGGTTTAAGGAACACAACAATACGTTCAAGATGTTGACTTGGCCTCCTTATTCTCCAGATCTCAATTCATCGGGCATCTGTGGGATGTGCTAGAAAAACAAGCCTGATCCATGGAGGGCCCCACCTTACAATTTACAGGACTTAAAGAATCTGCTGCTGACAGCTTGGCATCAGATTACTATAGCATACCTTCAGAGGTCTAGTGGAGTCCATGCATCAACAGGTTAGGCCTGTGTTTGCCAACAAATGGGGGACCTACTCTTTATTAGGTGGTTGGTCATAAAGTTACAGCTCATTGGTGTATATAAAACAATATTATGGTTGGGGTTTTTTTTTTTTATTATTACATCTGTTAACTGCATATCAGTTATCAGGTTTAACACCTTCCTGACAATGCTTGAAAGAATCTGATTTTCCCAGTGTGTTGGGCATTACAGCATTCCTTGGTCATATATATATACAGTACCAAGCAACAATTTGGAGAATAAAAAAACACTGAATCACCATCCTGCTTTAAAGCTGGGTATGATCTTTCATATTTACATTGATCCAGTTTGGAACAATGGAAGTGTGCTTATTTCATACATGAGACCACTGTGGAAGCTGACATTCGCTGTAGTAGTCAGCACTACTACTGTGATTGGCACTATATTCTGGGCCCTGTAAGAGGCTGACGAACTGCACACTGATTACAGGGTGTCACTTGTTTGGCAATGCCACCATTCATAGAATGCCTTGTATTTTTTCCAATGGATTCAAAGCGTTTTAAATTGTATGAGGTAGAGATCATCAACATTTTTTTTTTGGGGGGGGGAAGGGTGAATTTTATGTGCTTGTTTGTAACTTTGAAGTCCCCGGTGTGGTGATTTTTCTTTTGGTGACAGGTTCTCTTGAATGAAACATTCAGCGTCTAAAAGACCATGGATGTCTCCCCTGTACTCCACTCAAAGTAATGCGGTGAAGATCGCACTGCATTACATTCTTTCCAGTCTTATTGGCCAGGGGACACTGACGTAGACCTGGAAGTGACATCATACACATCACTTCTGCATCAGGAACAAGATGGGGAGCAGAGCGAACATGTCTGCTCTCCTCCATCCCCTCCACAGCAGATGGGCAAATGGAGCCATAAATAGCGGGGGGGTGCTGCACTTGGCATGTGTGGAGGCAATCAGGTGCCTGATTGTTACCATCTGACAAGTAATTGTAGGGAAAAACTACCTGCTGGTGCCCAGAACTGCATGTCTTGGGCGATACAAATTGCGCATCCCTGTGTCTAAGAATGGCAGCACCGCCAAGCAAGTGACCCCCTGTCAGTGAGCAGTGGGGCAGTCGCTAGGCACAGGACCTGGAAGATGGTGGTTATTCACTGTAGTAGTGCCAACTACAAAAGTGATTGTCCGCTTTCACAGCAATCCCTCAGGTATGGGATATGTACACTTAATATTGGTCCAAGCTTGACCAATGTAAGTATGATTTTAAATAGCTGGAGTTCAGCTATGCTATGAATACCTGCTAATAATGAATCCGGCTGAGACCTGATCTGACTTGCCCATCTGTACACAACTCTCTACAAATAGGTGACTCCATGGACAGCCATCACTGTAGGAATACTAGACTTCCTGCTTGGCATGATGTTGATACTTTTATGTAGGGGCAGGCATAAATCTGTGCATATTAAGCTGTTTTTACATTAAAGCCCAACCGTACAAACATCTTTGCACTGTTCATACATGTTATAATCTGAGTGCCCAACCTCTGTACAATATCCTTTTAAATTGACTAAACTGTGTAATATGAAGACAAGCCTAAACAATGCATGCAAGCTCGAAAGAGCAGGGCCCTCGATCCCCTCATGTTTTGCATTGTATTGGTATTGTTCTATCACATGTTCTGTCCCCCTTTGTAATGTACAGCGCTGAGCGAACCATTGGCGCTTTATAAATACTGTATAGTAATAATGCAGTATATACCCAATCAGGCAAGCCCTTACACTACATAGTTGATGGTAGAGCTAAAGGAGATTGTAGTACAAGATTGAATAGTGTATGGTCAGCCTTAGATTTACCCATATAATATGAAGGCCTGCCTAAGCATTCCATTCCATTTGTGTTTAGTCAAGCTGTACATTATTATAAGTAGAGCTATAGGAATTATACATGTATGATATTGGAAAATAAACCAACAAGGTATCTTGTTTTTGTAAAGTCTGCTTTTATTTCTTAAACATTTTTAATAAATACTCGCAAGAAAAGAAGATTGCACTGTTTAGAGAATTCATAATCAGGCTAAAATAGCCACATTTAGTCCAAATGCTTAAAACTTTCACATTTCTCCAATCGCTGACTTTGGCCAGCAATGTGTTTTGTATGGTCAATGCGTTTCTGGGGCTACACCATCTTATCAGTGAAGACATGTTTTGTTTTTCATATTTAACAGAATTCCCTGTCTGTGGTGCGAGCTGGCTATCAGAAGTTTTGATTTTAAATGGTGGTTGATCATGACTTACCATTAGCACCTTTTATAAATTGGCATTGTAATGTATGCTAATGGTCATGGGCATTTTTTTTTTTTTTTTTATAAAAAACCTTTCCTTGTCCATTGAAGGGCACAGGAATCCTCTAAATTTTAAGATTTTACTGCCTACAAGAGGATTGGATGGTAGCAAAAAACACTGTAGGCCGGGCAAGGTTAACTCCTACCACTACTAGCATGCATCAGTTTTTTTGCTAGTGGGCTGGATATTTTTTCTACAGCATGACTTTTTAGACTTTGAAACTTTTATTTTTTCTTTAACCACTTTGGACACTTTCACCCCCTTCCTGTCCAGGCCAATTTTCAGCTTTCATTGCTGTCACACTTTGACACTTGCGTGGTCATGCAACACTGTACCCATATGAATTTTTTAGCAGCATTTTTTTGAGACCGATAAAGCTTTATTTTGGTGGTATTTATTCACCACTGGGATTTTTACTTTTTTGCTATGTAAATGAAAAAGTCTAAAACTTTTGAAAAAAAGTGTTTTTCCTATAAAATTTTGCAAATAATATTTCATCATAAATCTTGGCCAAAATTTATTCCATTTATCTTTTTAGTAAAAAAAAAAAAAACCCAAATTAGTTTATAACCAAAAATTATAATTTTAAACATTTTTTTTTTAGTTATTTTTTTATATTCTTTGTTTTTGTTTTACATACTGTAACCCTAGCAGTACAGTGTCACCATGGTGGGGGTGACCTGTGGGGGGTGATGAATTTTTTTTTTTTTTTTTTTTTTTTTTTTTTAACACTGATTGCTTTTACACCCATAAAGGCTGTAAAAGCAATAATTTCTCCTTCTCTATGGCTGCATTCTTGCCGCCATTGAGAACTACTGTGTGAGCTGTGATTGGTCACAGCTTGTCACATGGTACAAGGCTGTTGTGAATAGCCTTGTACCATGTGACCTCTGTGATCATTCACAGATTTCACACGTAGTAAGCAATGATCTCAGAAGTGACATCTTGCTTACTACTCTGCATGTGATCACTGATTGGCCAATCAGTGATCACATGATCGGTACCTTGTACAGAGGTCCCGTCCGACGATCAGTGTTCCACTGTGTCCGGAGGACACAGTGGGCACCAGATCGTGGTGCTGCACGCTCCCAGGGAGCGCACACAATCGGGGCGGGGGAGGCCGTTTGTAAACGGCCACCCAACCCTGCACGGCCATCATCTGGCCGTTTATATACAACGGCTGGACAGGAGGTGGTTAAATTATTTTTATTGAACCACTTAGTGTTACTAAATATGGTCTCCCACAGTACACAGAACATGGAAATGCAATTATTTTTAGTAAGTGTAAACTGCTAAATGCCTTTTCTCATCAGCAGTTAGAGCAGTCTTGTGACTTCTATCAATGTCCAGCAGAGCACTGGTTAAAGCTTGTAGGAGTTTTAATTCTCTCACTGCCCTATGAGATTGCATGACCCCTGACCCTCTGTCTGGACAGTGCTGATTGGCTCTGTGCTGATCACATGCACTCTCCCATGAAAAAGAAAAAAACTCTCTGCACATACTCAGTTTGTGTATTGCTAGCGTGTCCCCGAGGCTTTCATCTATCAGGAGATGAAATGAGGAATGTGGTAGAAGGGAAGGATCAGAGAGGTCAGGATCAAACATCCTTTTTACACAATGCAGAGGATTAACCATTTAAGTTCCATAGTGAGTATAACAAGCATGCTTTACTGCATATACAGACTGATTTTACTGTTGTGGGTTTACTAACACTTTAAGCTCCAGAAGATTTTACCCCCTTCATGACTGGGGCATTTTTTGCTATTTGGCACTGTGCTACTTTAACTGGTAATTCTGCAATCATAACACATCGTACCCAAATGAAATTAATATAATTATTTTCACACAAATAGAGCTCTCTTTTGGGAATAATTGATCACCAATTTATTATTATTATTATTATTATATAATGAAAAGAGACTGAAAATTTTGAAGAAAAAAAAAGCTGTTTTTTTTACTTTCTGCTATAAAACATAACCAATAAAAAATAA